TCCCTTGTTCTTTTTATTTTGCACACGCTTGGCCCTTGTTCTTGCAATTTCGCGAACGCTAGGCCCTTGTTTTTGATTTTTTGCACATGCTAGGCCCTTGCTCTTGCTATTTTGCACTCGATAGGCCCTTGTTCTTGCAATTTTGCACACGCTAGGCCCTTGTTCTTGCAATTTTGCACACGCTAGGCCCTTGTTCTTTTTATTTAGCACACGCTAGGCCCTTGTTCTTTATATTTTGCACACGCTATGCCCTTGTTCTTTTTATTTTGCACACGCTATGCCCTTGTTCTTTTTATTTTGCACACGCTAGGCCCTTGTTCTTGCAATTTTGCACATGCTAGACCCTTGTTCTTTTTATTCTGCACACGCTAGGCCCTTGTTCTTGCTTTTTCGCGAACGCTTGGCCCTTGTTCTTGATTTTTTGCACACGCTAGGCCCTTGCTCTTGCTATTTTGCACTTGCTAGGCCCTTGTTCTTGCAATTTTGCACACGCTAGGCCCTTGTTCTTTTTATTTTACACATGCTAGGCCCTTGTTCTTTTTATTTTGCACACGCTAGGCCCTTGTTCTTGCTATTTTGCACACGCTATGCCCTTGTTCTTTTTATTTTGCACACGCTAGGCCCTTGTTCTTGCAATTTTGCACATGCTAGACCCTTGTTCTTTTTATTTTGCACATGCTAGGCCCTTGTTCTTGCTATTTCGCGAACGCTAGGTTCTTGTTCTTGGTTTTTTGCACACGCTAGGCCCTTGCTCTTGCTATTTTGCACTTGCTAGGCCCTTGTTCTTGCAATTTTGCACACGCTAGGCCCTTGTTCTTGCAATTTTGCACACGCTAGGCCCTTGTTCTTGCAATTTTGCACACGCTAGGCCCTTGTTCTTTTTATTTAGCACACGCTAGGCCCTTGTTCTTTTTATTTTGCACACGCTAGGCCCTTGTTCTTGCTATTTTGCACACGCTATGCCCTTGTTCTTTTTATTTTGCACACGCTTGGCCCTTGTTCTTGCAATTTTGCACATGCTAGTCCCTTGTTCTTTTTATTTTGCACACGCTTGGCCCTTGTTCTTGCAATTTCGCGAACGCTAGGCCCTTGTTCTTGATTTTTTGCACACGCTAGGCCCTTGCTCTTGCTATTTTGCACTCGCTAGGCCCTTGTTCTTGCAATTTTGCACACGCTAGGCTTTTGTTCTTGCAATTTTGCACACGCTAGGCCCTTGTTCTTTTTATTTAGCACACGCTAGGCCCTTGTTCTTTATATTTTGCACACGCTATGCCCTTGTTCTTTTTATTTTGCACACGCTATGCCCTTGTTCTTTTTATTTTGCACACGCTAGGCCCTTGTTCTTGCAATTTTGCACATGCTAGACCCTTGTTCTTTTTATTCTGCACACGCTAGGCCCTTGTTCTTGCTATTTCGCGAACGCTAGGCCCTTGTTCTTGATTTTTTGCACACGCTAGGCCCTTGCTCTTGCTATTTTGCACTTGCTAGGCCCTTGTTCTTGCAATTTTGCACACGCTAGGCCCTTGTTCTTCTTATTTTACACATGCTAGGCCCTTGTTCTTTTTATTTTGCACACGCTAGGCCCTTGTTCTTGCTATTTTGCACATGCTATGCCCTTGTTCTTTTTATTTTGCACACGCTAGGCCCCTGTTCTTGCAATTTTGCACATGCTAGACCCTTGTTCTTTTTATTTTGCAAATGCTAGGCCCTTGTTCTTGCTATTTCGCGAACGCTAGGCCCTTGTTCTTGATTTTTTGCACACGCTGGGCCCTTGCTCTTGCTATTTTGCACTCGCTAGGCCCTTGTTCTTCCAATTTTGCACACGCTACGCCCTTGTTCTTGCAATTTTGCACACGCTAGGCCCTTGTTCTTTATATTTTGCACACGCTAGGCCCTTGTTCTTTTTATTTTGCACACGCTAGGCCCTTGTTATTGCTAGTTTGCACACGCTATGCCCTTGTTCTTTTTATTTTGCACACGCTAGGCCCTTGTTCTTGATTTTTTGCACACGCTAGGCCCTTGCTCTTGCTATTTTGCACTCGCTAGTTCCTTGTTCTTGCAATTTTGCACACGCTAGGTCCTTGTTCTTGGTTTTTTGCACACGCTAGGCCCTTGTTCTTTTTATTTTGCACACGCTAGGCCCTTGTTCTTGCTATTTTGCACACGCTATGCCCTTGTTCTTTTTATTTTGCACACGCTTGGCCCTTGTTCTTGCAATTTTGCACATGCTAGACCCTTCTTTTTATTTTGCACACGCTTGGCCCTTGTTCTTGCAATTTCGTGAACGCTAGGCCCTTGTTCTTGATTTTTTGCACACGCTAGGCCCTTGCTTTTGTTATTTTGCACTCGCTAGGCCCTTGTTCTTGCAATTTTGTACACGCTAGGCCCTTCTTCTTTTTATTTTGCACTCGCTAGGCCCTTCTTCTTTTTATTTTGCACACGCTAGGCCCTTGTTCTTGCAATTTTGCACACGCTAGGCCCTTGTTCTTTTTATTTTGCACACGCTAGGCCCTTGTTCTTTTTATTTTGCACACGCTAGGCCCTTGTTCTTGCTATTTTGCACACGCTATGCCCTTGTTCTTTTTATTTTGCACACGCTAGGCCCTTGTTCTTGCTATTTCGCGAACGCTAGGTCCTTGTTCTTGGTTTTTTGCACACGCTAGGCCCTTGCTCTTGCTATTTTGCACTTGCTAGGCCCTTGTTCTTGCAATTTTGCAAACGCTAGGCCCTTGTTCTTGCAATATTGCACACGCTAGGCCCTTGTTTTTTTTATTTTGCACACACTAGGCCCTTGTTCTTTTTATTTTGCACACGCTAGGCCCTTGTTCTTGCTATTTTGCACACGCTATGCCCTTGTTCTTTTTATTTTGCACACGCTAGGCCCTTGTTCTTGCTATTTTGCACACGCTATGCCCTTGTTCTTTTTATTTTGCACACGCTAGGCCCTTGTTCTTGCAATTTTGCACATGCTAGACCCTTGTTTTTTTTATTTTGCACACGCTAGGCCCTTGTTCTTGCTATTTCGCGAACGCTAGGCCCTTGTTCTTGATGTTTTGCACACGCTAGGCCCTTGCTCTTGCTATTTTGCACTCGCTAGGCCCTTGCTGTTGCAATTTTGCACATGCTAGGCCCTTGTTCTTGCAATTTTGCACATGCTAGGCCCTTGTTCTTTTTATTTTGCACACGCTAGGCCCTTGTTTTTTTTTTATTTTGCACACGCTAGGCCCTTGTTCTTTTTATTTTGCACACGCTAGGCCCTTGTTCTTGCTATTTTGCACACGCTATGCCCTTGTTCTTTTTATTTTGCACACGCTAGGCCCTTGTTCTTGCAATTTTGCACATGCTAGACCCTTGTTCTTTTTTTTTTGCACACGCTAGGCCCTTGTTCTTGCTATTTCGCGAACGCTAGGTCCTTGTTCTTGGTTTTTTGCACACGCTAGGCCCTTGCTCTTGCTATTTTGCACTTGCTAGGCCCTTGTTCTTGCAATTTTGCACACGCTAGGCCCTTGTTCTTGCAATATTGCACACGCTAGGCCCTTGTTCTTTTTATTTTGCACACGCTAGGCCCTTGTTCTTTTTATTTTGCACACGCTAGGCCCTTGTTCTTGCTATTTTGCACACGCTATGCCCTTGTTCTTTTTATTTTGCACACGCTAGGCCCTTGTTCTTGCAATTTTGCACATGCTAGACCCTTGTTCTTTTTATTTTGCACACGCTAGGCCCTTGTTCTTGCTATTTCGCGAACGCTAGGCCCTTGTTCTTGATTTTTTGCACACGCTAGGCCCTTGCTCTTGCTATTTTGCACTCGCTAGGCCCTTGTTCTTGCAATTTTGCACACGCTAGGCCCTTGTTCTTGCAATTTTGCACACGCTAGGCCCTTGTTCTTTTTATTTTGCACACGCTAGGCCCTTGTTTTTTTTATTTTGCACACGCTATGCCCTTGTTCTTTTTATTTTTCACACGCTATGCCCTTGTTCTTTTTATTTTGCACATGCTAGGCCCTTGTTCTTGCAATTTTGCACATGCTAGGCCCTTGTTCTTGCAATTTTGCACATGCTAGGCCCTAAGCTCCTGGACGAGGCAAGCTCGTTGACCAGGCAAGCTCCTGGACCGGGCAAGCTCCAAGACCAGGCAAGTTTCTGGCCCAAGCGAGCTCTTGGACCAGTCACGCTCGTGGATCAGGCAAGCTCTTGGACCAGGCAAGCTCTTGGACCGGGCAAGCTCCTGGAACATGCAAGCTCCTTGACCAGGCAAGCTCCTGGACCAGGCGAGCTCTTGAACCAGGAATGCTCCTGGACCACGCAAGCTCGTGGACCAGGCAAGCTCGTGGATCAGGCAAGCTCGTGGACCAGGCAAGCTCGTGGACCAGGCAAGCTCCTGGACCACGCAAGCTCCTGGACCAGGCAAGCTCCTGGACCATGCAAGCTCCTGGACCAGGCAAGCTCCTGGACGAGGCAAACTTCAGGACCAGGCAAGCTCTTGGACCAGGCACGCTCTTGGAAAAAGCAAGATCTTGGACCAGGCAAGCTCTAGGACCACGCAAGCTCCTAGACAAGGCAAGCTCGTGGACCAGGCAAGCTCCTGGACCAGGCACGCTCTTGGACCATGCAAGCTCCTAGACCAGGCAAGCTCCTCGACCAGGCAAGCTTCTGGACTAGGCAAACTCGTGGACCAGGCATGCTCCTGGACAAGGCAAGCTCCTGGACCAGGCAAGCTCCTAGACCAGGCAAGGTCCTGGACCAGGCAAGCTCCTGGACCACGCAAGCTCTTGGACCAGGCAAGCTGTTGGACCAGGCAAGCTCCTAGACCAGGCAAGTTCCTGGAACAAGCAAGCTACTTGACCACGCAAGCTCCTGGACCACGCAAGCTCTTGGACAAGGCACGCTCCTAGACCAGGCAAGCTCTTGGACCAGGCAGGCTTCTGGACCAAGCAACCTCTTGGACCAGGCAAGCTCCTGGACCAGGCTAGCTCCTGGACCACGCAAGCTCTTGGACCAGGCATGCTCGTGGACCGTGCACGCTCCTGGACCAGGCAAGCTCTTGGACCAGGCAGGCTTGTGGACGAGGAAAGTTCCTGGACCAGGCAATCTCCTGGACTAGGTAAGCTCCTGGACCACGCAAGCTCCTGGACCAGGCAAGCTTCTGGACTTGACAAGCTCCTGGACCACGCAATATCCTTGACTAGGCAAGCTCCTGGACCAGGCAAGCTCCTGGACCAGGCAAGCTCCTGGATCAGGCAAGCTCCTCGACCACGCAAGCTCCTGGACCAGGCAAGCTCTTAACCCAGGCACGCTCCTGGACCAGGCAAGCTCTTGGACCAGGCAGGCTTCTGGACCAAGCAAGCTCTTTGACCAGGCAAGCTCTTGGACCAGGCAAGATCCTAGACCAGGCAAGCTCTTGGACCAGGCACGCTCCTGGACCAGGCAAGCTCTTGGACCAGGCAAGCTCGTGGATCAGGCACGCTCCTGGACGAAGCAAGCTCGTGGACTGGGCAAGCTCCTGGACCAGGCAAGCTCTTGGACCAGGAAAGCTCCTAGACCAGGCAAGCTCCTGGACCAGGCAAGCTAACGGACCAAGAAAGCTCTTGGACCAGGAAAGCTCATGGACCAGGCAAGCTCCTGGACCAGGCAAGCTCATGGACTAGGCACGCTCGTGGAACAGGCAAGCTCCTGGACCAGGCAAGCTCCTGGACCAGGCAAGCTCCAAGACCAAGCAAGCTCCTAGACCACGCAAGCTCTTGGACCAGGCAAGCTCTTCGACCAGGAAAGCTCCTGGACCAGGCAAGCTCCTGTACCAGGCAAGCTCCTGGACAAGGCAAGCTCCAAGACCAGGCAAGCTCTTGGACCAGGCAAGCTCCTGGACCAGGCAAGCTCCTGGACCAGGCAAGCTCTTGGACCAGGCAAGCTCATGGACCAGGCAAGCTCTTGGACCAGGCAAGCTCCTGGACCAGGCAAGCTCCTGAACAAGGCAAGCTCCAAGACCATGCAAGCTCCTGGACCAGGCAAGCTCCTGGACCAGGCAAGCTCTTGGACCAGGCAAGCTCTTGGACCAGGCAAGCTCCTGGACAAGGCAAGCTCCAAGACCAGGCAAGCTCCTGGACCAGGCAAGCTCCTGGACCAGGCAAGCTCCTGGACAAGGCAAGCTCCAAGACCAGGCAAGCTCCTAGACCAGGCAAGCTCCTGGACCAGGCAAGCTCTTCGACCAGGAAAGCTCCTGGACCAGGCAAGCTCCTGAACCAGGCAAGCTCCTGGACAAGGCAAGCTCCAAGACCAGGCAAGCTCTTGGACCAGGCAAGCTCCTGGACCAGGCAAGCTCCTGGACCAGGCAAGCTCTTGGACCAGGCAAGCTCCTGGACTAGGCAAGCTCTTGGACCAGGCAAGTTCCTGGACCAGGCAAGCTCCTGGACCAGGAGCTCCTGAACCACGAGCGTGCCTGGTCCAGGAGCTTGCCTTGTCCACGAGCTTTTTTGGTCCGTGAGCTTGCCTAGTCCAGGAGCTTGCCTGGTCCAGGAGCTTGCCTGGTCCAGGAGCTTGCCTGGTCCAAGAGCTTGCCTAGTCCAGGAGCTGGACGTGGACGACGTGGACGACGTGGACGACGTGGACGACGTGGACCTGGACGTGGACGTGGACGTGGACGTGGAGATGGACGTGGAGATGGACGTGGACGTGGACGTGGACGTGGACGTGGACATGGACATGGACGTGGACGTAGACGTGGACGTGGACGTGGACATGGAGGTGGACATGGACGTGGACGTGGACGTGGACATGGACCTGGACGTGGACGTGGACGTGGACGTGGGGACATGGACGTGAACGTGGACGTGGACGTGGACGTGGACGTGGACATGGACGTGGACGTGGACGTGGAGGACTTGGACGTGGACATGGACGTGGACGTGGACGTGGACGTGGACATGGACGTGGACGTGGACATGGACCTGGACGTGGACGTGGACGTGGACGTGGACGTGGACGTGGACATGGACCTGGACGTGGACGTGGACGTGGACGTGGACGTGGACGTGGACGTGGACGTGGACATGGACGTGGACGTGGACGTGGACGTCGACGTGGACGTGGACATGGACCTGGACGTGGACGTGGACGTGGACGTGGACGTGGACGTGGAGGTGGACGTGGACGTGGACATGGATGTGGAGGTGGACGTGGAGGTGGACGCGGACGTGGACGTGGAGGTGGACGTGGAGGTGGACATGGACGTGGACCTGGACGTGGACGTGGACGTGGACATGGACGTGGACATGGACGTGGACGTGGACGTGGACGTGGACGTGGACGTGGACGTGGACATGGACGTGGACGTGGACGTGGACGTGGACGTGGGGACATGGACGTGAACGTGGACGTGGACGTGGACGTGGACGTGGACGTGGACATGGACGTGGACGTGGACGTGGACGTGGACGTGGACATGGACGTGGACGTGGACGTGGACGTGGACATAGACGTGGACGTGGACGTGGACGTGGACGTGGTCGTGGACGTGGACGTGGACATGGACGTGGACGTGGACGTGGAGGACTTGAACGTGGACTGGACGTGGACGTGGAATGGACGTCGACGTGGACATGGACGTGGACGTGGACGTGGACATGGACGTGGACGTGGACGTGGACGAGGACATGGACATGGACGTCGACGTGGACGTGGACGTGGACGTGGACGTGGACGTGGACATGGACGTGGACGTGGTCGTGGACGTGGACGTGGACGTGGTCGTGGACGTGGACGTGGACATGGACGTGGACGTGGACGTGGACGTGGACGTGGAGGTGGACGTGGACGTGGACGTGGACGTGGAGGACTTGGACGTGGACGTGGACGTGGATGTGGACGTAGACGTGGAGGACTTGGACGTGGAGGTGGACGTGGACGTCGACATGGACGTGGGTGGAGGTGGACGTGGACGTGGACATGGTCGTGGACGTGGACGTGGACGTGGACATGGACGTGGACATGGACGTGGACATGGACGTGGACGTGGACGTGGACGTGGACATGGACGTGGACGTGGACGTGTACGTGGACGTGGACGTGGACGTGGACGTGGACGTAGACGTGGAGGACTTGGACGTGGACATGGACGTGGACGTGGACGTGGACGTGGAGGTGGACGTGGACATGGACGTGGACATGGACGTGGACGTGGACGTGGACATGGACGTGGACGTGGACGTGGACATGGACGTCGACGTGGTCGTGGACATGGACGTGGACGTGGACGTGGACGTGGACGTGGAGGACTTGGACGTGGACATGGACATGGACGTGGACGTGGACGTGGACGTGGACGTTGACGTGGACATGGACGTGGACGTGGACGTGGACGGACATCGACGTGGACGTGGACGTGGACGTGGACAGGGAAGTGGACCTGGACGTGGACGTGGACGTGGACGTGGACATGGACGTGAACGTGGACGTGGACGTGGACGTGAACGTGGACGTGGACGTGGACGTTGACGTGGACGTGGACATGGACGTGGACGTGGACGTGAACGTGGACGTGGACGTGGACGTGGACGTGGACGTGAACTTGGACGTGGACGTGGACGTGGACGTGGACGTGGACATGGACGTGGACGTGGACGTTGACATGGACGTGGACGTGGACGTGGACGTGGACCTGGATATGGATATGGACCTGGATATAGACGTGGACGTGGACGTGGATGTGGACTTGGACGTGGACCTGGATATGGATATGGACTTGGATATAGACGTGGACGTGGACGTGGACGTGGACGTCGACATGGACGTGGACGTGGAGATGGACGTGGACGTGGACGTGGACGTGGACGTGGACATGGACGTGGACATGGACGTGGACGTGGACATTTTCGTGGACGTGGACGTTGACGTGGACGTGGAGGTGGTCGTGGACGTGGACGTGGACGTGGACGTGGACGTGGTCGTGGACGTGGACGTGGACGTGGACATGGACGTGGACGTGGACGTGGACGTGGACATTGACGTGGACCTGGACGTGGATGTGGACGAGGACGTGGACGTGGACGTGGACGTGGTCGTGGACGTGGACGAAGTGGTCGTGGACGTGGACGTGGACGTGGACGTGGACATGGACATGGACGTGGATGGGACGTGGACGTGGACATGGACGTGGACGTGGACGTGGACCTGGACGTTGACGTGGACATGGACGTGGACATGGACGTGGACGTGGACGTGGACAGGGACGTGGACATTAGCGTGGACGTGGACATTGTCGTGGACGTGGACGTGGACGTGGACGTGGTCGTGGACGTGGACGTGGACGTAGACATGGACGTGGACATGGACATGGACGTGGACGTGGACGTGGACATGGACGTGGACGTGGACGTGGAGGACATGGACGTGGACATGGACGTGGACGTAGACGTGGACGTGGACGTGGACGTGGACATGGACGTGGACGTGGACGTAGACATGGACGTGGACGTGGACGTGGACATGGACGTCAACGTGGTCGTGGACATGGACGTGGACGTGGACGTGGACGTGGAGGACTTGGACGTGGACATGGACATGGACGTGGACGTGGACGTGGACGTGGACGTTGACGTGGACATGGACGTGGACGGACATGGACGTGGACGTGGACGTGGACAGGGAAGTGGACCTGGACGTGGACGTGGACGTGGACGTGGACATGGACGTGGACGTGGACGTGGACGTGGACGTGGACATGGACGTGAACGTGGACGTGGACGTGGACGTGGACGTGAACGTGGACGTGGACGTGGACGTGGACGTGGACATGGACGTGGACGTGGACGTGAACGTGGACGTGGACGTGGACGTGGACGTGGACGTGGACATGGACGTGGACGTGGACGTTGACATGGACGTGGACGTGGACGTGGACGTGGACCTGGATATGGATATGGACCTGGATATAGACGTGGACTTGGACGTGGATGTGGACTTGGACGTGGACCTGGATATGGATATGGACCTGGATATAGACGTGGACGTGGACGTGGACGTGGACGTGGACGTGGACATGGACGTGGACGTGGAGATGGACGTGGACGTGGACGTGGACGTGGACGTGGACGTGGACATGGACGTGGACGTGGACGTGGACGTGGACATTTTCGTGGACGTGGACGTTGACGTGGACGTGGAGGTGGTCGTGGACGTGGACGTGGACGTGGACGTGGACGTGGTCGTGGACGTGGACGTGGACGTGGACGTGGACATGGACGTGGACGTGGACGTGGACGTGGACGTGGACATTGTCGTGGACCTGGACGTGGATGTGGACGAGGACGTGGACGTGGACGTGGACGAAGTGGTCGTGGACGTGGACGTGGACGTGGACGTGGACATGGACGTGGACGTGGACGTGGACATGGACGTGGACGTGGACGTGGACCCGGACGTTGACGTGGACATGGACGTGGACATGGACGTGGACGTGGACATGGACGTGGACATTGTCGTGGACGTGGACATTGTCGTGGACGTGGACGTGGACGTGGACGTGGTCGTGGACGTGGACGTGGACATAGACATGGACGTGGACATGGACATGGACGTGGACGTGGACGTGGTCGTGGACGTGGACGTGGAGGACATGGACGTGGACATGGACGTGGACGTAGACGTTGACGTGGACGTGGACATGGACATGGACGTGGACGTGGACGTGGACGTGGACGTGGACGTGGACATGGACATGGACGTGGACATGGACGTGGACGTGGACGTGGACGTGGACATGGACGTGGACGTGGACGTGGACGTGGACATGGACGTGGACATGGACGTAGACCTGGACGTGGACGTGGACGTGGACGTGGATGTGGACGTGTACGTGGATATGGACGTGGACGTGGACGTGGACATGGACGCGGAGGACTTGGACGTGGACATGGACGTGGACGTGGACGTGGACGTGGAGGTGGACGTGGACATGGACGTGGACCTGGACGTGGACGTGGACGTGGACGTGGACATGGACGTGGACGTGGATGTGGACGTGGACATGGACGTCGACGTGGTCGTGGACATGGACGTGGACGTGGACGTGGACGTGGACCTGGACGTGGACGTGGAGGACTTGGACGTGGACATGGACATGGATGTGGACGTGGACGTGGACGTGGACGTGGACATGGACGTGGACGTGGACGTGGACGTGGACGTGGACATGGACGTGGACGTGGATAGGGAAGTGGACGTGGACGTGGACGTGGACATGGACGTGGACATGGAGGTGGACGTGGACGTGGACGTGGACGTGGACGTGGACGTGGACGTGGACGTGTACGTGGACGTGGACGTGGACGTGGACGTGGACGTGGACGTGGACGTGGACGTGGACGTGGACGTGGAGGACTTGGACGTGGACGTGGACGTGGACGTGGACGTAGACGTGGAGGACTTGGACGTGGAGGTGGACGTGGACGTGGACGTGGACGTGGAGGTGGACGTGGACGTGGACGTGGACGTGGACGTGGACGTGGTCGTGGACGTGGACGTGGTCGTGGACGTGGACGTGGACGTGGTCGTGGACGTGGACGTGGACGTGGACGTGGACGTGGAGGACTTGAACGTGGTCTGGACTTGGACGTGGACGTGGATGTGGACGTGGACATGGACGTGGACGTGGACATGGACGTGGACGTGGACATGGACGTGGAGGTGGACGTGGACGTGGACGTGGACATGGACGTGGAGGTGGACGTGGACGTGGACATGGACGTGGACGTGGAGGAGGACGTGGACGTGGACATGGAGGTGGACGTGGACGTGGACATGGACGTGGACGTGGACGTGGACATGGACGTGGACATGGACGTGGACGTGGACGTGGACGTGGACGTGGACATGGACGTGGACATGGACGTGGACGTGGACATTGTCGTGGACGTGGACGTGGACATGGACGTGGTCGTGGACGTGGACGTGGACGTGGACGTGGACGTGGACGTGGACATGGACGTGGACATGGATGTGGACATGGACGTGGACGTGGACGTGGACATGGACGTGGACGTGGAGGTGGACGTGGACGTGGACATGGACGTGGACATGGACGTGAACGTGACGTGGACGTAGACGTGGACGTGGACATGGACGTGGACGTGGAGGACTTGGACGTGGACATGGACGTGGACGTGGACGTGGACGTAGACGTGGACATGGACATGGACGTGGACGTGGACGAAGACATGGACGTGGACGTGGACATGGACCTGGACATGGACGTGGACGTGGACGTGGACGTGGACATGGACATGGACGTGGACGTGGACGTGGACGTGGACATGGACGTGGACATGGACGTGGACTTGGACGTGGACGTGGACGTGGACGTGGACGTGGACGTGGACATGGACGTGGACGTGGACGTGGACGTGGACGTGGACATGGACGTGGACGTGGACGTGGACGTGGACATGGACGTGAACGTGGACGTGGACGTGGACGTGGACGTGGGCGTGGACGTGGACATTGTCGTGAACGTGGACGTGGACGTGGACGTGGTCGTGGACGTGGACGTGGACGTGGACTTGGACGTGGACGTGGACGTGGACATGGACGTGGACGTGGATGTGGACATGGACGTCGACGTGGACGTGGAGGACTTGGACGTGGACATGGACGTGGACGTGGACGTGGACGTGGACATGAACGTGGACGTGGACGTGGACGTGGACATGGAGGTGGACGTGGACGTGGACGCTCTTGGACCAGGCAAGCTCTTGGACTAGGCAAGCTCCTCGACCACGCAAGTTCTTGGACCAGGCACGCTCCGGGCCCAGGCAAGCTCTTAGGCCAGGCGGGCTTCTGGACCAAGCAAGCTCCTGGACGAGGCAAGCTCCTGGACCAGGCAAGCTTCTCGACCAGGCAAGCTCCTGGACCAGGCACGCTCGTGGAACAGGCACGTTCCTGAACCAGGCAAGCTCTTGGACCAGGCAGTATCGTGGACCAAACACGCTCTTGGACCAGGCAAGCTCCTTGACCAGGCAAGCTCCTGGACCAGGCACGCTTCTGGACCTGGCACGCTCCTGGACCAGGCAAGCTCCTCGACAAGGCAAGCTCCTGGACCACGCAAGCTCTTGGACCAGGCATGCTCCTAGACCAGGCAAGCTCTTGGACCAGGAACGCTTCTGGACCAAGCAAGCTCCTGGACCAGCTAGCTCCTGGACCAGGCAAGCTCCTGGACCAGGCAAGATCTTGGACCAGGCAAGCTCCTGGACCAGGCAAGCTCCTAGACCAGGCAAGCTCCTGGACCAGGCACGCTCGTAGACCAGGCAAGCTCCTGGACCAGGCAAGCTCCTGGACCAGGCAAGCTCCTGGACCAGGCAAGCTCCTCGACCAGGCACGCTCGTGGACCAGGCACACTCTTGGACCAGGCACGCCCCTGGAACAGGCAAGCTCGTGGACCAAGCAAGCTCCTGGATCATGCACGCTCGTGGACCAGGCACGCTCGTGGACCATGCAAGCTCTTAGACCAGGCAGGCTTGTGGACTAGGCAAGCTCCTGGACCAGGCAAGCTCTTTGACCAGGCAATCTCCTGGACCAGGCACGCTCGTGGACCAGGCACAATCCTGGACCTGGCAATCTCTTAGACCAGGCAAGCTCCTGGACCACGCAAGCTCTTGGACCAGGCACGCTCCTGGACCAGGCAAGCTCTTGGACCAGGCAAGCTTCTGGACCAAGGAAGCTCCTGGACCAGGCAAGCTCCTGGACCAGGCAAGCTCCTGGTTCAGGCAAGCTCCAGGACCGAGCTAGCTCTTGGACCAGGCAAGCTCTTGGACCAGGCAAGCTCTTGGACCAGGCAAGCTCCTTGATCAGGCAGGCTTGTAGACGAAGCATGCTCCTGGACTTGGCAAGCTCCTGGACCAGGCAAGCTCCTGAACAAGGCAAGCTCCTGGACCGAGCAAGCTCCTAGACCAGGCAAGCTCCTAGACCAGGGAAACTTGTGGACCAGGCACGCTCCTGGAACAAGCAAGCTCCTATACCAGGCAAGCTCCTAGACCAGGCAAGCTACTGGACCAGGCAAGCTCCTGGACCAAGCAAGCTCCTGGACCAGGCAAGCTGCTTGACCTGGCATGCTCCTGGACCAGGCAAGCTCCTAGACCACGCAAGCTCCTGGACCACGCAAGCTCCTGGACCAGGCAAACTCGTGGACCAGGGAAGCTCCTGGACCAGGCAAGCTCCTGGACCAGGCAAGCTCCTGGACCAGGCAAGCTCCTGGACCAGGCACGCTCCTGGACCAGGCACGCTCCTCGACTATGCACGCTCCTGGACCAGGCACGCTCCTGGACCAGGCACGCTCTTGGACCAGGCAAGCTCCTACACCAGGCAAGCTCCTGGACCACGCAAGCTCCTGGACCACGCAAGCTCTTGGACCAGGCACGCTCCTTTAACAGGCAAGCTCTTGGACTAGGCGGGCTTCTGGACCAGGCAACCTCCTGGACCAGGCAAGCTCCTAGACCAGGCAAGCTTCTGGACCAGGTAAGCTCCTGGACCAGGCAAGCTTCTAAACCAAGCAAGCTCCTGGACCAGGCTAGCTCCTGGATCAAGCATGCTCGTGGACCAGGCACGCTCGTGGACCAGGCAAGCTCTTGGACCAGGCAGGCTCGTGAACCGGGCATGCTCATAGACCAGGCAAGCTCCTGGATAGGCAAGCTCCTGGACCAGAAAGCTCCTGGACCAGGCACGCTCATGGACCAGGCACGCTCCTGGACCATGCAAGCTCCTAGACCAGGCAAGCTCCTGGACCAGGGAAGCTCCTGGACCAGGCAAGCTTCTAGACCAAGCAAGCTCCTGGACCAGACAAGCTCCTGGATCAGGCACGCTCGTGGACGAGGCACGCTCGTGGACCAGGCAAGCTCTTGGACCGGGCAGGCTCGTGAACCAGGCATGCTCCTAGACCAGGCAAGCTCCTGGACCAGGCAAGCTCCTGGACCACGCAAACTCGTGGACCAAGCACGCTCCAGGACCAGGCAAGCTCCTGGACCAGGAAAGATCCTAGACTAGGCAAGCTCCTGGACCAGGCGAGCTCCTGGACCAGGCACGCTCCTGGACCAAGCAAGCTCCTAGACCAGGCAAGCTCCTGGACCGGGCAAGCCCTTGGACCATTCACGCTCGTGGACCAAGCAAGCTCTTGGACCAGGCAAGCTGTTAGACCAGGCAAGCTCCTGGACCAGGCAGGCTCCTAGACCACGCAAGCTCCTGGACCACGCAAGCTCCTGGACCAAGCAAGCTCCTGGACCAGGCAAACTCCTGGACCAGGCAAGCTCCTAGACCAGGCAAGCTCCTGGACCACGCAAACTCGTGGACCAAGCACGCTCCAGGACCAGGCAAGCTCATGGACCACGAAAGATCCTAGACCAGGCAAGCTCTTGGACCAGGCAAGCTCTTGGACCAGGCAAACTCGTGGACCAGGCAAGCTCCTGAACCACGCAAACACATGGACCAGGCACGCTCCTCGACCAGGCAAGCTCCTGGACCAGGCAAGATCCTAGACCAGGCAAGCTCCTCGACCAGGCAAGCTCCTGGACTGGGGAAACTCGTGGACCAGGCACGCTCCTGGACCAAGCAAGCTCCTGGACCAGGCAAGCTCCTGGACCAGGCAAGCTCTTGGACCAGGCACGCTCCTGGACCAAGCAAGCCCTTGGACCAGGCAAGTTGTTGGACCAGGCAGGCTCGTGGACCAGGAAAGCTCCTAAACTATGCAAACTCGTGGACCAAGCACGCTCCAGGACCAGGCAAGCTCCTGGACCAGGAAAGATCCTAGACCAGGCAAGATCCTAGACCAGGCAAGCTAGGCCCTTGTTCTTGCAATTTTGCACACGCTAGGCCCTTGTTCTTTTTATTTTGCACACGCTAGGCCCTTGTTCTTTTTATTTTGCACACGCTAGGCCCTTGTTTTTGCAATTTTGCACACGCTAGGCCCTTGTTCTTGCTATTTTGCACACGCTAGGACCTTGTTCTTTTTATTTTGCACACGCTATGCCCTTGATTTTTTTTATTTTGCACACGCTAGGCCCTTGTTCTTGCAATTTTGCACATGCTAGACCCATGTTCGTTTTATTTTGCACACGCTAGGCCCTTGTTCTTGCTATTTCGCAAACGCTAGGCCCTTGTTCTTGATTTTTTGCACACGCTAGGCCCTTGCTCTTGCTATTTTGCACTCGCTAGGCCCTTGTTCTTGCGATTTTGCACACGCTAGGCCCTTGTTCTTGCAATTTTGCACACGCTAGGCCCTTGTTCTTTCAATTTTGCACACGCTAGGCCCTTGTTCTTGCTATTTTGCACACGCTATGCCCTTGTTATTTTTATTTTGCATACGCTAGGCCCTTGTTCCTGCAATTTTGCACATGCTAGACCCTTGTTCTTTTTATTTTGCACACGCTAGGCCCTTATTCTTGCTATTTCGCGAACGCTAGGTCCATGTTCTTGATTTTTTGCACACGCTAGGCCCTTGCTCTTGCTATTTTGCACTTGCTAGGCCCTTGTTCTTGCAATTTAGCACACGCTAGGCCCTTGTTCTTGCAATTTTGCACACGCTAGGCCCTTGTTCTTTTTATTTTGCACACGCTAGGCCCTTGTTCTTTTTATTTTGCACACGCTAGGCTCTTGTTCTTGCTATTTTGCACACGCCAGGCCCTTGTTCTTTTTATTTTGCACACGCTTGGTCCTTGTTCTTGCAATTTTGCACATGCTAGACCCTTGTTCCTTTTATTTTGCACACGCTTGGCCCTTGTTCTTGCAATTTCGCGAACGCTAGGCCCTTGTTCTTGTTTTTTTGCACACGCTAGGCCCTTGCTCTTGCTATTTTGCACTCGCTAGGCCCTTGTTCTTTTTATTTTGCACACGCTAGGCCCTTGTTCTTGCAATTTTGCACACGCTAGGCCCTTGTTCTTGCTATGTTGCACACGCTATGCCCTTGTTATTTTTATTTTGCACACGCTAGGCCCTTGTTCCTGCAATTTTGCACATGCTAGACCCTTGTTCTTTTTATTTTGCACACGCTAGGCCCTTATTCTTGCTATTTCGCGAACGCTAGGTCCTTCTTCTTGATTTTTTGCACACGCTAGGCCCTTGCTCTTGCTATTTTGCACTCGCTAGGCCCTTGTTCTTGCAATTTTGCACACGCTAGGCCCTTGTTCTTGCAATTTTGCACACGCTAGGCCCTTGTTCTTTTTATTTTGCACACGCTAGGCCCTTGTTCTTTTTATTTTGCACACGCTTGGTCCTTGTTCTTGCAATTTTGCACATGCTAGACCCTTGTTCTTTTTATTTTGCACACGCTAGGCCCTTATTCTTGCAATTTCGCGAACGCTAGGCCCTTGTTCTTGATTTTTTTGCACACGCTAGGCCCTTGCTCTTGCTATTTTGCACTCGCTAGGCCCTTGTTCTTGCAATTTTGCACACGCTAGGCCCTTGTTCTTGTAATTTTGCACACGCTAGGCCCTTGTTCTTGCTATTTTGCACACGCTATGCCCTTGCTATTTTTATTTTGCACACGCTAGGCCCTTGTTCCTGCAATTTTGTACATGCTAGACCCTTGTTCTTTTTATTTTGCACACGCTAGGCCCTTATTCTTGCTATTTCGCGAACGCTAGGTCCTTGTTCTTGATTTTTTGCACACGCTAGGCCCTTGCTCTTGCTTTTTTGCACTCGCTAGGCCCTTGTTCTTGCAATTTTGCACACGCTAGGCCCTTGTTCTTGCAATTTTGCATACGCTAGGCCCTTGTTCTTTTTATTTTGCACACGCTAGGCCCTTGTTCTTTTTATTTTGCACACGCTTGGTCCTTGTTCTTGCAATTTTGCACATGCTAGACCCTTGTTCTTTTTATTTTGCACACGCTAGACCCTTATTCTTGCAATTTCGCGAACGCTAGGCCCTTTTTCTTGATTTTTTGCACACGCTAGGCCCTT